TGGTTTCAAAAACAATAGTATGAACAACAATGTCCCCACATTCACCAAATTTCACACTAATAACCAACAAATCCCTCACAAAGAAAACCAAAACCACATGCAATTCACTCAAGCTAATTCATGTTTAATAACTAAAAATTTTGCATAAATAATTGAAATTAAGTAATAAAATAGCAAAATTTAAAGTTATACCACCTTGTAGAAGCTTGAACACCACCAAGAGCCTCCAAGAACACCACCTTCAATGAAGCTTGCAAACCATGAAAATGGGGGATTTTTGGGTATTTTGGAGAGAGAAAGTGGGTAAAATTGTGAGTGGAGTGAAAGTTTTTGATGGATTTGAAAGAAAATCAATGGAATTTGTGAAAAATGGTTGAGATTTGAAGGTTAGGGTTTGGGTTTGTGAGGAGAGAGAAGAGAGCATGAAAATGGGGTTTTGAAAATATGAGAAAGAAATCGGGGAGAAGAGGGTTAAAAACCCGATTTTCCTGCTCTGCGCTCCCGCACAGGAGAGTTGCGCGCCCGCAGAGTTGAGCTGCACCCCCGCACAGCTATCGCGCACTAGGTCGCGCAAACTCTCTGCCTCGAGCTTCAATTTTTGATAAATTATGTGCGGGTTCTGACAGTGAACGCGTGCCCGCACAGCCTTACATGTGCGCCCGCACATATGGCGCACAACAAGTCGCGCAAACTTCCTGACTTGAGCTTCAATTTGAGATAAAATCTGTGCGGGTTCTGACAGTGCCTGCGCGCCCGCACAGGTCACACAGCGTGCCCGCACAAATAGCGCGCACAGGGTCGCACAGAGTAGTTTGATTTTTCCTCACATCTTCGAAATAGAAAATCCTTGTTCCTTCATCATCAAAACACCTATTAACCAAAAAGGTGAAAAAAAGTAATCAAATTCAAATTTAAATTCAAAAAGGAGAAAGTGAAATCGAAATATTAAAAAAAAAGGTTTAGAAAGGAGTTAGAAACTCGGGTTGCCTCCCGAGAAGCGCTTCTTTATGAGGTCACTAGCTTGACCATGAGAAAAATCCTTCAAGTGGGAGGCTTGGGATCTAAAGGATCAAGCAATATACATTCGATGATACCAACTTCTTCCTTGCAAAAGTAATGCTTTAGACGATGACCATTAACCATGAACTTGTTACCATCCGCATCTAACTCAAAGGAGCCATAAGGGGTAGTCTTTGAAATCACAAAAGGACCCGACCACTTTGACTTGAGTTTACCCGGAAACAAACGAAGCCTTAAGTTGAAAAGAAAAACCTAGTCTCCAACCTTAAAGTTTTTGTTTCGAATATGTTGGTCATGCCACTTTTTGGTCTTCTCCTTATATAACCTTGAGCTCTCATAAGCATCATCTCTAAGATCTTCAAGTTCATTGAGCTTCAACAATCTCTTCTCACCGGCCAACGATAAATCCATATTGAGCTCTTTGATAGCCCACCAAGCCTTGTACTCCAACTCAACCGGCAAGTGACAAGCCTTGCCATAGACCAACCTATAAGGGTTGTGCCTATTGGAGTCTTGTACGCCGTCCTAAGAGCCCATAGCGTGTCATCAAGTTTGAGAGACCAATCTTTCCTTGATTTTTTCACCATCCTTTCAAGAAGATTTTTGATTTAACGATTCGAGACCTCCACTTGTCCTTGAGTTTGAGGGTGGTAAGGTAATCCAACCTTGTGATGAACGCCATACCTCTTGAGAAGAGCTTCAAATTGCTTTTTGGCGAAATGGGAGCCTCCATCACTAATTAGCACCCTCGAAACTCCAAACCTAGGAAAAATGATCTTCTTTAGGAGCTTAAGCACAACCTTGTGATCATTGGTAGGTGAGGGTATGGCTTCAATCCATTTTGTCACATAATCGACCGCTACCAAGATATATAGATTCCCACAAGAAGAAACGAAAGGTCCCATGAAATCTACCCCCCAAACATCAAAGGGTTCCACTTCTAGAATGTTTTGTTGGGGCATTTCGTCCCTCTTGGTAATGCCTCCGCTCCTTTGACATCTATCACATTGCGCAACAAATTGGTGGGCATCTCTATGCATTGTTGGCCACCACAATAAGGATTGTGAGATTTTTTTCCACTATTTTGTCAACACCACCATGTCCTCCACATGGTAGTGAGTGGCAATGCTCAAGAACACCTTGGATTTCATGATCTGGAACGCACTTCCGATAAAGGCCATCTCCACATTTCTTGAATAGGTATGGGTCATTCCAAAAGTATCTTCTCACTTCCTTGAAAAACTTCTTCTTTTTGTTGAGAAGAGTACTTCGGGGGAACGACTCCACACGCAAGATAGTTGGCTATATCCGCGTACCAAGGGGTAGAAGTTGACACCAAAGCCATGAGAGCCTCGAATCCTATCTCATCATTAATCGGTACATCCTCCTTGTTCTCAAATGGTAGCCTAGACAAATGATCCGCTACGTAGTTCTCCTCTCCCTTCTTATCCCTCATTTCCATGTGAAAGTCTTGGAGAGAGAGAACCCAACGGATCAAGCGAGGCTTTGCTTCTTTCTTGGTCATGAGATACCGCAACGCGATGTGATCCATGTGCACGATAACTTTTGAGGATATGAGATAGGACCGAAACTTATCGAATGCAAACACTAACCGCCAACATCTCTTTCTCCGTTGTTGTGTAATTCCTTTGAGCCTCATCTAGAGTACGACTTGCGTAGTAGATGACATATGATTTTCCTTATTTCTTTTGACCAAGAACGACACCTACTGCAAAGTCACTAGCATCGCACATTAGCTCAAAAGGCAAGCTCTAATCCAGAGCTTGCACAACGGGAGAATAAATGAGAGCTTCCTTGAGCTTACGAAACGCCTCAAGGAAAGCCTCATTAAAGTAAAAAACAACCTCTTTTTTGAGTAGTTCGGTCAAGGGTTTGGCGATTGAAGAGAAATCTTTGATAAACCTTCGATAAAAACCGGCATGCCCAAGAAAAACCCGTACTCCAGTGATGGAAGTAGGAGGGGGAAACTTTTCAATCGCAAAAACCTTGGCCGGATCTACTTCAATGCCATTTTTTGAAACCTTATGGCCGAGGAAAATTCCCTCCTCAACCATAAAATGGCACTTTTCCCAATTTAAAACTAAACTCGTCTCTTGACACCTTTTAAAAACTTTTTCAAGGTTAAAAAGACAAGTGTCAGAAGACGAGCTAACAACACTAAAATCATCCATGAAAACCTCAATTTCTTTTTCAAGCATCTCAGAGAAAATGGAAGTCATGCATCTTTGAAAAGTAGAGGGAGCATTTCATAATCCGAATGACATTCTTCGGTATGCAAATGTCCCATATGGACATGCGAAAGTAGTTTTCTGTTGATCACTTGGATGGATAGGGATTTGGAAAAATCCGGAATACCATCCAAGAAACAAAAGAAAGCATGGTTAGAAAGCCTTTCAAGCATTTGGTCCATGTAAGGGAGAGGAAAATGATCTTTCTTAGTGTTTTTGTTCAATCTCCTATAATCAATGCACATTCTCCACCCGGTCACCGTCCGGGTGGAGATTTCCTCTCCCTTTTCATCCTTGATTATGGTCATTCCACCCTTCTTTGGAACCACATGAACCGGGCTAACCCATTTGCTATCGTAGATAGCATAGATGATGCCCGCCTCACGTAATTTCAAGATTTCTTTCTTCACAACCTCTTGAAGGTGGGGGTTCAACCTTCTTTGAGGTTCAATGGAGGTGGAATGATCATCTTCAAGATGAATACGATGCATGCATAAAGAAGGGCTAATACCTTTAATATCATCAATGCTATACCCTATCACATCCCTATATTTCCTTAAAACATCAAGAAGTTTTTCCAAATTAAGACCATCTAGGGTAGCATTGACAATAATAGGGTATTTCCCCTCCTTATCAAGAAAAGCATATTTCAAAGAAGGGGGAAGGGGTTTGAGTTCTACCTTGGGAGGAGGCTTAGAACTCCCCTCCAATTTCTCCTCCTTGGACTCAAGCTCGACCTCAACTTGTTGTTCAACTTCCTCCTTTGAGGATTCCTCCATTGCCATGACAAATTCTTTAGCCTCTTGAGAGTGGAACTCTTCTTTTCATGTAAGGGTTTCAATCATTGGATCTTGAGGCCTTATCACGACCCTCCCCAAGCGTTCTAGCTCCGCATTCACAACAACAAATCTATAGCATTTTTCAACCATGGGGGTCTTGAGCAACTTTGAAAATTCAAAGATAATTTTTTCATCGGCCACTTCACAAGTGATGGTGTTGTTCTTGCAATTAATGACCGCCCCCAAAGTTTTAAGAGCTTCACTTCCCAAAATCAAAGGAGTGTTAACATCTTCCTCCATATCCATCACTACAAAGTCACAAGGCACGTAGATGTGTCCCACTTGAATTGGAACATCCTCAAGTTCTCCACAAGGTAATTTCACCGATCGATCGGCCAATTGAATTGTCTTCCTTTTAGGGATCATCTCAATATTTAGTTTTTGAACAATGGATAGAGGGATTAAACTAACACTTGCTCCAAGATCGGCTAAGGCGCCCCTAGCTTCCATGTTCCCAATTTTCACCGGCAAAGTGAAACTTCCCAGATCTTTTTCCTTCTTGGGCATCTTATGTTGGACAAGAGTACTCACTTGATGTGGAAGGGTGATAAGCTCGTCATTGAGCTTCCTCTTGTTGGTGAGAATATCTTTGAGGAACTTGGAATAAGATGGCATTTGTGTCACAACCTCAATAAAAGGGAGGTTGATATGCAAATTCTTCATGACACTAAGAAATTTTGAAACCTTGTCATTAACCTTCCTCTCCGCAAGCCGACCGGGAAAAGGAACCGGTCCATCAAGATTCCTAGCCCTCACTAGGAATTGAATTTGTCTTCTCATTGTCTATCTTCTTCTTCTCCGAACCTCCTTCTATCTCATCACCTTTTTCTTTCTCACCTCCCTTGTTATCATTCACACTCTCCTCTCCTCCCTTCTTTTCCTCACTATCCCCTTAATTTGGTCCTTCATAGGAAGTTCCCGACCTCAATGTGATCGCCTTGCATGTATCGGGTTTTGGATTGTGAGATTGGTTAGGTTGTGGTTGTCCGGGTAGAGTGGATGGTGAATTGAAAGGAGTTCTCTCGGCCAATTGAGCTAGTTGTGAATCAACCATCTTGTTGTGGGCTCTTATCTCTTGCATTTGTTGCCCAAAAGATTGCATTTGCGCATGCATGGCTTGGAGGAGTTGAGTTTGAGTTAGCTCCGCTTGAGGTGCTTTTTCTTGATGGTTTCTTTGAGGTGCTTGGGTTTGATTGTTGTATTGGTTGTTCCTTGGATAGCTTCCTCTTGGGTTTCGGGGTTGAGATGGAGGTGGATTTTGATATTGAGGATTGGAGTTATAGGAAGGTTGAGCTTGTTGGTTCCATTGTTGAGGTTGAGGTACAAACCTAGGTGGTGGTTGTCTCCAAGCTACTCCACCGCCGCTTCCTCTAAATCCCTCTTGCCTTGTGTTGTATGCCGCTATATGTTCGGGGCTTAAACCTCCACAATAGGATGTATCATGGTTCGTTCCTCCATAATTTTGACAAGAGAAAGAGTTAACTTGAGTAGAGCTTGCTCCACCACTTGAGCTTGCATTCACATTGGTGTTCAATTTGGAAAGCCCTTTCGTTAGTTGATCGATTAGATGTTGTAATTGATCAACTTTCTCCAATTCATAAATACCACCTCTCTTTGGAGCATTTCTTCTTCGGCCCCCCCAAGAGTAATTATTTGCTACCTCTTCTATTGTGGCTTCAACTTGATTTTGAGGGATTTTGATTAATCGGCCACCCGCCCCCGCATCCAAATTGGCTCTTGACATGGGCTCCAATCCGTCGTAGAAAAACCGCATGAGCAACCCTTGATTGTACTCATGGTGGAGACATGCTTGCACCAACTCTTTGAATCTCTCCCATGCTTCACCAAGACTTTCATCGGCCTCTTGCTCAAATGATGCAATTTTCCTTCTCATTTTTGCAGTCTTCTCTTCGGAGATAAAGCGCTTCAATAACGCCTTTACAACCTCCCTCCATGTTGTGAGAGAGTTAGGCTTTACTTGCTTTAGCCATTTCTTTGCTTGTCCGGTGAGAGATTGCCGGAAAAGGTGCACACGAATGTAGTCTTGACTCACTTCACTGGTTTGCATCATTGCGCACAATTCAAGGAATCGGTCCAAATGTTCAATAGGGTCCTCACTTGCACTTCCGGAAAATTGCTCCGATTGGACCATTCGAGTATATTGTGGATGGATTGAGAACTTGGTTTCCGTGACGGGTAGCAAAATCCCTCCCGTGAGCTCATAATCCTCCGGATTTCCGAACTCACGACACAAGACATCATTCTCTTGTCCCGCCATTGATTTGCGTGGTGAACTTGAAGAGTAAGTATTACTCTCACTATCAACTATATCACCAAAATCTCTTCCCTCGTCCTGATAAAGCCTACGGACTTGTCTCAAGGTTGGGTTGATTTCGTGGTCAATTTGATGTGAGGGTGTTCCTTGAGACCTCCTAAGAATTCACCAAAGCTAAGCAAACAATTAGCAATGACAAGGATAATAGAACAAAAGAAACAAAAAGAAAAGAAAGCAAAATGACTCGAACAAAAGCAATAAAATTCGCTAAACAAGTCGCTTCCCCGGCAACGGCGCCAAAATTTGATCGGGATAAGATAGGTCGTTAAACTACCACCCTAATCAAATTAACAATTTATAAAGCCTAAACCTACACTAAGCTAGTTAGTAGCAAGTAAAGGATCGAACCACTAGGGAAGCACGCTAATTAAACATCTAATATCACTAATGCAAGAGTAAAAAGGGGATTATTTTGTTGGTTTTGTTGAGTAGAACACTAAAACTACAAGTAAGAAAGAAAATGATGATTAAAATCAGTAGAAAATGACGCTAGGCATTCGGGGGTTTCAAACATGCATTAGAAAGAGGGGAACAATGATAGTTATCATGATGAACATGCCAAAGAACACAAGATTCTACCTAAACAATTCATTCTCATGCAATAGTCTAGGCAATCAATGAAAGAAGTCTATGCTAATTAGGATCATTCTCATGCATCCTATTAGACACAAGCAAATCAAGAGAATAACGAAGCACAATACATGAAACTCCATTTTAACAACTCATTCTCATGCAATCATTAAAATAGAGGTGATCTTAATCTAGTTCAAATCATTTTCATGCATTCAAACTAGTGGGCAATCAAATAAAGTGCAACAATAATCTCAAGCCATTAAAAATCATGTCTTTCATCAATTTAAGGCATGTAGTCAATCCAACTATCATCATTCATCCATCATTCAATACATATCTTCCACCCCCTTCCCCTAGCTAAGAGTTTAGCCTAGAGAAGGGAGATTAAACATAATATCAAAACTAGAAATAAGCACAAGAAACTCAAACCAAAACATGATTGAAATATATGAAATCAATAATAACTAGATAAACTAATAAGATAGACAAAAATAAATAACAATTAAACAAATAAATAATATTAAAGGATTGAAGAAAGATTAAAACTTGGATACTTGCTTGATTGATGGAAGATTAAAGCTTGAGCAAAGTTGAATACATTAAAGGAAGCTTGAATAACAATCTATTTTCTCTCTCTAGATTAGGCTAATGTTCTATGGAATTAGTACTAAGTGTGTCTCTATTACAAAGAGTCCCGTCTATATATATGTGGCTCCACCCAAAAGAAAGAGACTTGGATAACAAGGCGCAAATAAATCGTAAACCCAGCCGTGCGCGCCCGCACAGATGAGTTGCGCGCCCGCACAGAATGTTTGTGCGCCCTCTCAGCGTAGCGCGCGGCCGCAACTTTGAGGGTACGGGGAAAATGAGCGCGCCCGCACATTAGTCCTACGTGCCCGCGCATCGGTGTGTGCGCCCGCACACGAGTCGTGCATAGGGTCGCGCAAACCCTCTGGTTTTGCTCTGTTTCTTCAGTTTGGTTGTGCGGGTTCTGACAGGGTTGCGCGCCCGCACAGCCTCACATGTGCACCCGCACAGAAGCCGCACAATACCCCGCGCACAACAAATATCTTGACTTCTTGATATCCTCTTTCTTTCGGCACATAATACCTACAAAACCAAAGCATGGAGATCAAAATAAAAACAAAGCGAGAAGACTGAGAGAAGGGAAGATAAGGGAGAAAAGGAAAGAGGAAGCAAAACTAAGTAAAAATACTTAGAAAAAGGGTCAAACAAGCGCAAATGAGGGGAAAATCCTTAGAGAAAAAGGATAAAAGAGTGGTATAAATGCCACTCATCAGCTACCCGGCCCAGCCAAGCCCTGCACATGCGAGCTGCTTGCTGCCATCCTCTTCGGCCAACATGCCCACACACGCTTGTGCGGGCTGCTCCTGCCGAAGGCTGCTGCTAGCAAGCCTCGCACATGTGCGGGCAGCTAGCGGCAGCGTGCCAGCAAGCCATGCATTATGTGCGGGCTGCTGTCCGTAGCTTGCTAGCATGCCTCGCACATGGTGCGGGCTGCTAGCTTGCCTAACCCTTAGCACTCGGGGTTCCAATGCGAGGGGTATTTTGGTCATTGTTGATTAATTACTAATTTGTCGTCTCGACTTTTACTATTTTTTACTCGACTTCCGACGCTCGGTTTCGACGCTCTAAGCTCGAATTTCTGACGTCTAAATATTTAATACTCGGGCGACGATTTAATTTCTTCCGAATTAATTTGTCGAGTCGGTTCGTTTACTGCTAAGGGTGTGACCCGAAGGGTTCAGTCAAGATTAAGCTGTTATATTAATTATGTATTAATATTACTGATCGTAAGTGGCCTCCACCTAGGCATTCTGCTCACTTGACCTTACTGAATATATTAGCTTTCTAATAATTCTGAACCCACTATCAAAATAATACACTTGTTTGAAGGACACCATTCCTTTTAGGTGCGTCAATGGCAGTGGTTTCGGGTCGGCACATCAGTGGCGGTGGTTCTGGGCTCTTAGTTTTGGGTAGTCGTGGGGATGGTGGTGCTGAAAGGTGATGGTTTTTTTTTAATTTTTGTTTTTTTAAAATTGTTTTTGTTAATTTTGGACAAATCAAGTAGTGACACGTGTAAATTTAACTTAATTAAAAAATTACCTCTTCAACCGGTTGCTAGTCATCCGAGACCGTTTTAAGAAGATTGGGTATAAAGTTTGGATTATTTAAAAAAAATCCAAAGGTGGGATTATTTTCAGCGGACGGGAAAAAGGTCGGATTATTGCGGGTAATTTTTCCTAAAAATAATGGTGATTGATCTAAGTGCTCGGAAATTTACCACTTCTCTTTGCTAGATCTTTGTTCAGAACACTTATTGACTCCTTCTTGTTCGGGAACCTCCACCGTAGTAACAAGTATTAAAGGGGGTGAGTGTTTAAGACAAGAGGATTTGGTAGCACACAAGCTCACTGAGTTTCTACCAGAGTTTTAGGTTAATTTCTGTCTATTTGAGCCTCGTATTAAGCCTCTATTTATAGGGAATGGGTAAGATTAGGATTTTGAACATTCTGCCGCACCAGGTGTCGCGCGCATCTGAAAGGGTTGGGCGCGACGGCCTAGCGCAAGTGGATTGGTTGCGCTGCTATAGGCAGCGCAACTGATTGTCTTGCGTGCGGTATTATGGTAAGATTCGATTTCATATTTTAATGAAATTCTGAATCTTCCGCAAGCGCATCATTAGCAGTTGCGCTGGGTGTTGCGCGCAACCTTGTGAGTTGCGTACGCCAGACCAGCGCGACTCATTGACATGCGCGCGGATTTATCTGCGGCAGCATTAATTTTAACCTAGGCACCTCTAAATCCGTCATTTTTAGGGTTTAAGCTCAGGCTTAGTTGATTGGACCTTAATGCTTTTGTTTTTGGGTTAGGCTAGCTTATTTTTATGTTCTTGTAATTCAATAAGTTATCCATAAGTGTTCTTCACGTTAATCCAACACGAAGACGGTTTTATTTATCGTCATTGCACTTCCTGTCTGGACAGGAGGCCAAAAGTAGATGTCTACACATATATTTAAAATTATCATATGTATGTGTGTGTGTGTGTGTGTGTGTGTGTGTGTGTGTATATATATATATGTATATATAATCTTATTTTTAAAATAAAATAAATGGATCATAAATCTTATGCAAAATCATCGGAGTAAAAGAGATAAAATTTGCGTAGGGGGTAGAAAATGTGTGCTTTGGATTATCCCTTTGGAAAGAAGGGGTGGAAATTGTTTGATTTGGAATCAAAAGAGTAATTTGTATCACGTAATGTAAAATTTCATGAACGTGTGTTTCCGTTTAAGGAGAGTTTGAAAGAAACAAGTGAGAATTCAATGAACTTGGGTGTGTTTAGTGGATTTGAGTTAGATTATGGGGAAGGAGATGATAACTTTTCTGTGTGGTGATACTCAAGCAGAGCAGCAACACGGACCAAGCCAGCAGCAAGCAGACCCTGCCCCCGTATTCAGGCAGCTCGCAAAATAGAAATTTGGGAGCTACTGCTCGGGATGACGTAAAACCAGCGGGCACTGCCCAGGCTATGAACATAGCAGACATTGGCAACCCGCTGGTACAATTACTTGACGCTACTACTTAGGCCGCTAGTTTTCAAATGCTAGGTGGGCGGTCTGTGACTGGACTCTGTAAGTGAGCAAGAACGATAGCATAGTGCCACCAATTTCAGGGGAGATGAGGTTAATACATTGGTTGATTCTGGTGAAGGAGGGTTGGATCGTGGGAAGAGAATAAAAATTCACTCGACAAGATTACGTGATTGCGTATTTGCGTCACACACACCATTCGAAAAAGTAAAGGTTTATCGTCATCCATGGCATTATCCTCGCTAGGTGTTCTCCCTGTAAACACCTAATTGTGTCTCCCCAAAAACCAAACCCACTGATTAATACCTTTTCATGTTATTTGATTATGGAACGAGGTGAAATGCAAAAAGTCTTGTGATGCGGTTGTTTTATTACAAATACTTCTTTCTATTTTTGATAATATTTCTTTTCTTACTCTATTTATGGAAAGCGTTCATTCCAGTTTAGTTTGGTCCATGATAAGGGTCCAATAATGGTTTAGCTGGATAGGTCTTGAAAAGACCTTTCCAACGATATATTATAAGCCCAATTCCGATGAATAATGAGGAAGTTATGGCAAAAATACTAAATTGGACTCAAACCGAATTTTACCTACGACCCAATGATCATGTGGAGGGTCCAAAGTTTTAATCCCATTACTAAATTATTTAGGATTAATTAGAAGCTTTTATAAGTTTCTACAAGATCTTGATTATCCTTTTTCAAAAGATAAGATCAAAGAATTCGAAATTGAATAAAACTTCTCTTTTTGAA